TGCAGAGTTCTCAATAGCCAAGCTTCAATACTAACAGCACTTAGCGAAATTGCAAGAGGAAGCAACTAACCACAGATGAGCTAGCTCAGATACTAGGGAAAACTCCTCCCAAGAGACTAAGTCTGAGGCCTGATAAGAGGAGGGAGGACCCAGAACAAGGGTCTGCAGAGACTGACAAGGTATAAGAGTTAGGGGGAACTCCTTTAAATTAATGTAAGCAAACAAGGGCAGGGAATAATGTATTCTGCTAAAGTTTCTTTGACTGGTTGTAAAACTCATCTCTATTATAGTGGTACTAAGATCTGCCTTTTAAAAAATCCTATAAAAGGCTGTGGTTTTGTCTCCAAGGGTGTGCCACCCTGCTCTCTCTTGGTGCATGGTGTGAGCACTCAGACTTTTGCTTGGCCAAATAAAATGCTGCTTTAGAGAAGTCCCTGCTTGAAGTCTTTTATTTTGTGCTGCTGATTGATTTCAAGTTTTCTGGGTAGCCGTGAACCTTACAACAGGATTACACTCTTGTTTTGAGGTGATTAATTTAAATAATTCTTACCTTTTCCTTTTGTATATTTTCTGGTAGTTCAAAACCTTTTGCAGCTAAAAAGACCCAGCCTGACCTAAACTTCAAATTCCATATTTCCTTACTTCCCAATTCTGCTATTGCCTTTTTCCCATCCTCCTGTAACCTGCAAGAGATAAGAGAATAACTTGAATGTGGTCCTTCTAGGACTCAGACAGCACAAATCAGCAGCTACTGTGGTCAAGTTGTAGGGCAGCTTTCCCAAAACCGGCTCCCTCCAGACATGGTCATTATAGTTGAAATGGCTAGAGTTGTGGTATCAACATGTATGGAGGAAACCCAGCTTGGGAACATTGCTAAAATCAGTTTCAAATATTAGGATCTGTAATCCAGCCTCAGATCTCAAGGAGACCTTCAGATTCAAGAAATACAAATTCATGAAGGTCAAGTGCTTCACTCTTTTAACACTTTCCCTTAAAATTGTGCAAATGAAGAGAATGACAAAGGACGCAACAAAAATATACAAGTTAAGAAATAATTTGGAACATTAAAACTTTTTACATAATGGAGTAGCAATATTAATAACACTGCCCAATTACAATACTACGTTGATAACCTTGTAGTGAATGGAGATGTAGTAGATGCATTAGTAAATATCCTCATGGAACTTACCATGTAATTATCAGTACTATTCAAAAATGGGAAGCCTTAGACATCCATTTGAAGCAATGGCTTTGGAAAAAAGGCATTGTTTGAAACATTAACTGAATTGTGACACATAAACAAGTTTCTGATTATGACAAAAAATCCACAGCAATGCGTATTTGGCAAAACTGGTGAGTAGAACTGATCATAAATTGATATTTTTTGTTAAATGTATTTGTAAGGTTGTGAGGTTCAATAGACGTCTAGATCTGCTTACTTTGACTTTCCATCGTCATGGGTCGCCATAAAGAGTAGAGATCTCTGGGGAGCGTTGTGAATAAAATCAGTCATTGGTCCAGAGAATTCTGTGGGTAGAAAAAAAAAATCCCTCAGGGAAATACCTTATAAATGAAACATTTTCCCACCAAAGCCTCAACTGTATTTCTAGAAGAGGTGAGATCCAAGACATCTGTGGTGAGATGTCTCAGCTTCCACAGGTGAGAGAGCAATGTCCCCTTGCTCTTACATACTCTCTAGTGTGACTCCAGATAATTTGGAGACTCCCTGAATCAGGGATGGGCCGGAGGCCTCATTTTTATAGATTTTCAGTACAAACAACAATGACAAAAAAGGACAAAAAATGTGTGGCAATGTCTTAATGCAACCCCCAGCCTTTTGTACTGACATCCCAAAGTTGGACCTAAGTCCATAACTCATAGGTTTGTATTGTGAAAACACAATACATTCATTTTATGTATTATTTATTTATTTATACATCATGTTTATATGGTTGCCCATCTCACGTAACATGATTTCAGGCGGTGGTATTTAATAAAACCATTAAATAACAGTATTAAAACACAATACCATTAAAAACATTGATGTTATTATTTAAAAAGGCTAGGTGAGAGCATTGGATATCACAAATGGTGGAGCTACCTCAACAGATCACCGTTCCCTTGAGACCCCCCAGCCTGTTGACCCAGCCAAGTTTTGTTGACCTTGGAGCCTTCTCTAGCTGGGATTACTTAAAAGCAGAGTTTCCTGCCTTTGTGAGCTGATAAAAACATGAACACTGTACTGTAAGCCCTAAAATTGGCAGATCACAATTTTAAAAACTACATAAACCCAGTCCAAGTTTCTCTCAGAACTTTAGCGTTGTTCATATGTGTAATGCTGCTGCACTTTTGAGATCTTCAGCCAACCCAAAATGTTAAATGTGGCCTTTGGCCACAAGGTGTCCCCAGGGAGTCAAAACTCAAGATGGGCAGAATTAAAGCCCTGCTTTTTTTATCATGTTTGCACAAGTGAATGTTAAAGAGGCCAACAGTTTTGATCATGAGATCACGCCCACCATCTTGACTTTTTTACCTCCCCTGCCACTTATGTTCACCTCTGCTTGGCCACCAAAATATTGGCTACTCCTGTTCTAAACAATGGCCAGCTGTGGGTAATTTAAAACAGCAACAACAACTTTACATTGATAGAGAGAACCCCTTCCATGAAAAATAGAAACCTATCAGTCCAATTCTTTTCCAGTGAAGGCAAAGGAGCAATACAGAGGAAATACTTTGTAGAGGTAGTATTTCAGTTGACCATCCAAACAACTGCCAGATAAATTTAGAATAAACTATTCTAAAGAGTCTGCTCAAAATCATTGCAATATTCTGTCCTTCCCATTCCTCACTTCTCTCTCTTCCAACATTTTGAGACTGATATCTGCCTGGGTAGAAAATAATGTTTATGTGCTCTCCTAAAAATGATCACATTATTTTTTAAATGACTAGTTGTCCTATACTATCATAAAATAATTCTCATGTCTTTTTCACAAATAAACAGGCCAACAGCACAGGTAAGTGGACAGTGGCTAGCATATTTACCGTAAACATGATTGCAAATTGGGCTGTCAAATCAATTTATTTCCACTGAGAATTCCTGAACATCTGTATTGTAGGAGATAATCCTATCTGGACACTTTTAAAATTCCATCTACTCATTTTTATAGTATGGAAAGAAAACCTGTGTGGGCTTGATTTCCACTGCTTCGTAAGCCCAGTTATGGCATTGACTGGAACATGTGAAAAGAGCTCCCATCCAAATGCACAGAGATGAAAAAGAAAGGGGCCCTTCTCTTTCTCCCCTCAGAGCTCCTCAATGGAGCTGACGTTGACTCTCAAAGTACACCCAGAAAGCTGGTTTAACATGCTTTCTTCTGGTCTGAGAGACTGCAAAAAGGAATGCCAGGAAAATTTGGTTGCCCCAGTCATCTGTTCTACTTTGCCTGAGTCATGAGGCCAGCGCAGTGATAGGTAGATTTCCTGACAGGGGGGAAAGAACATCCACTAATCACTTTCCTGCAGGGAAACTGCAAACAGTTTACAGGTCAGTGATGATGATGTCATTTGGATCCCCTGAGAAATCCCATTAACCTGCCTCATTTGTGTAACTAACGTTACACGGTCAGGAAACACTCTGACTCAGATATCCATGACCATGACCAAAGGTGCATTGTTACAGATACAGTACATGCTACAGGAGTCATTCAAATGTACTTGATCACAGAGATACTGTCCTCATAAGCTGACGCTGGACATGAGCTAGCTTCTTACCTCCTTCCCACATGTCAAAATATTTTGCAGCAACAACTTTTCCAGTGTCATCTAAAAGAAACAAAATATATATTCAAAACTGGTGAGAAATACATAGAATGGAAAACTATTTTGGCGTTACATTCAAAAAGCTGCAAACCAAATATTTAATTTCCTTATATAAGCTGGTAGGGAGCCTTAATAAAATTCCTGTGATTGCAAAGTATTGATTTTGCTCATCATCATCATATTTATTTCGGTCATTGACCAATAAAATAGATACAGTAAAACAGACAACAATATTACCCCTTTCATCAATAACTACTAGCAACCATTTGTGGGCGAAGCTTACACATTATGTAGCAAAATTTTGCAACTTTTAAAGAAATAGATCTGTCTTGATTATTTAACAAAAACAATATTACCCCTTTCATCAATAACTACTAGCAACCATTTGTGGGCGAAGCTTACACATTATGTAGCAAAATTTTGCAACTTTTAAAGAAATAGATCTGTCTTGATTATTTAACAAATAATGCAAATTATGACATCCGATACTGTCCCTGTGGTACAGGTGCCATTGAAACCACAGTCCATGTTCTTTTGTATTGGCAGTATTATAGGGACATTTGCTTTCAGCTGATTACCCCTCTTTTATTTAAATTTCCCAGGCATTCCGATAATTTTTACTTGCATTATTTGTTAAATAATCAAGACAGATCTATTTCTTTAAAAGTTGCAAAATTTTGCTACATAATGTGTAAGCTTTGCCCACAAATGGTTGCTAGTAGTTATTGATGAAAGGGGACTTGCATTATTTGTTAAATAATCAAGACAGATCTATTTCTTTAAAAGTTGCAAAATTTTGCTACATAATGTGTAAGCTTTGCCCACAAATGGTTGCTAGTAGTTATTGATGAAAGGGGTAATATTGTTGTCTGTTTTATTGTATCTATTTTATTGGTCAATGACCGAAATAAATATGATGATGATTTTGCTCATCTCCTCTCATGCCACACTTGGCCCCAGTAATGAAAAGGTTTCACAGATCTATACAGTCTGACTAGAATGCACATGGCACGGTTATTATTTATAAATAAACCCTACTTTTGATTGACAGACTTCTAAGGGCAGCTCAAAATAGCAGTACAATTACCAGAAAAAAGGTTTACATTTTTATATGTCCAATATCCATGCAGTATGATAAATAAAACAATTTATAATCACATTCTGAAAATCAGACAATCTGCTGAAACATCATCACAATACATAATGTGCGCGCACACACGCATCAATGTATACACATGTACATAGAGAAGCGAAGAGAAGCACCCATATGGCTAGCACTATGATGGCGCTAAAATGACAAAATGTGCATCCTGATGTCACAATGACCTATTCACCTTTTTGTACTTGTGTCATGATGTCCCCGATAAGGATATAAGGGGTAGAGTTTGCATTGCGATATATCTTTCATCACTTGTTCCCTGCCCCTTGTTCTTCCATGGATGCCCATGGATTTATATTATACAGCACATTTTAAAAAGCCAAGTAAGTCTCTATAAAGCCAAGTGGACACTTAATTGTAGAAGCAAAGTTTTGACTGGGACATCTTGATCATTTTCTTGCACTTCTTTTACATTTACAGGTAGTCCTTGGTTAACAACGGTAATTGGAACTGGAATTTCCATCACTAGGCGATATGGTCATAAAGCGTGATGTCACATGACCAGACTGCTTAGTGACAGCAATCCCAGCAGTCCCTGTTGCAGTCGTTGAGCAGGGATCATGGGTTGTTAAGCAAGGAGCTCCTCGCAACTTCCTGCTGGCATCCAACAACCACAGTAAGTGGGGAAGCCAGCAGGGAGTTGCAAGTCCCAAGTGGCTCGCAAGCAGGCTGGCAGGCAGGTAAGTGGCTGTTGCCGGGTATGGGAGGTTGCGCAGGTGGCTGGTGTGGCACAAGTGTGGTGGGGGTGGCTATGGCTGGGTGGGGAGGGTGTGTGAGAGTGTGCTGGTGGCCGGAGCAGTGCAAATATGGTGGGACTGGGAGTATCTGCTGCAGGTGGGGGAGGGTGTGTGTGGGGGTGCGGGTGGCTGGTGCAGTGTGAGTGTGGAAGAGCTGGGGATGGCTGCTTCCAGGTGGGGAGGGATTATGAGGGTGCACAGATGGCTGGAGCAGCACAAGCATGGCAGCGCTGGGGGTAGCTGCTGCCAGGTAGGTGCAGAAGGCTGCATGGTTGGCCGGTGAGGTGTGGCACAAGCGTGGCAGGGTTGGCTGCTGCTGGGTGGTGGAAGGTGCACAAGGGTGTGTTGGTTGCCAGTGAGGTGTGACCCTGGCTAGGCTGGGGGTGGCTGCTGCTGGTGGGGGAGACATACCAAAGTGACTTGCCACCTTCCCTGCTGGCTTTCCCATTGACTTTGCTTGTGGGAAGCTGGCAGAGAAGGTTGCAAATGGCAATCAAATGACTGCAGGATGCTGCAATCATCATAAGTGCGAGCCAGTTGCCAAGTGCCCAGATTGTGATCATGTGACCACGGGGGTGCTAGGATGGCCATAACTTCAAGGATCACTTATTAAGTACCACTCATTCAGTGCTGTTGCAACTTTGAATGGTCACTGAACAAGTGGTCATTAACCGAGGGCTACCTGTATTTCAAGTAGGGCCTAGCAGTTTTTTTTCTTTTATAAATGGAAGCAGTAACAGACTTCATTTATTTGGGCTCCAAGATCACCGCAGATGGAGACTGCAGCCATGAAATTAAAAGACGCTTG